AGATTCCTACTTAGGAAATTGATTTTCCTTGTTAACAGTGAGTTTTGAAAAGTCATGTGTTCCATATCTTATAAGTCATGTTAATGCTTTATTTTTCCTAAACATTTTGTGCCTGCAGAAGATCTGTTGATTCTATTAAGAATTTGCTGCCATTTGTTACCATATCCCTTACCAAAAATTCCATTTTCTCATTAATCAACTTTCTTTGTACTAAAATTTTGTTAAAAATGTTTTCTTTAGAATTCTACTTCTTCATTGTTGGTACATCTTGTGTTTTCTCTTTTTATACTTTTAGTATACAGATAATTTACTACCAATTCAGAAAAAATATAAATTAATTTAAAATTAATTTATTAACTGACACTTAAAAACATAAAGTATGCATATTAATGGGGATATGTTGCATTATTTTGATAGACATTTTTTAATGTCTTAACTAGCTTAAAAATTCTCCCCAAACATCTGTCATATATTCATGGTGAGAAATTTCAACATTCCCTCTTCTAGTTGTTTGAAATTGACTGTATAATATTGTTCTCTGTGGCCACTTTACAGTGTAATAGAGCACCAGAATTTCTTGCTCTTAGCTAAGTATAAATTAGTATTCATTAATCAATCTTTATTCATCCTTCCTTTGGATAAATATTAAATAGTAACATTGCTGGATCATGTGGTAGTTCTATTTTTTAAATTTTTTTAAGGTAGCTCCAAACTGTTTGACATAATAGCTGTGCTAATGTACATTCCCAACAAGTGTTGTCTTTACTTGACATCCTTACTGGTGCTTCTTTATGTTTTTGATACTTTCATTGCTTACAGGCATGAAGTAATATCTCTTGTAGTTCTTTGTTGCAATTCCTTGGTGGTCAGTGATATTGAGCATTTTTTCATATACCTATTGGCCATTCATATGACTTCTTTAGAGAACTGCATATTTAGGCCCATTGCTTATTTGTAATTGGGATATTTATATATTACTATTGAGATTTTGGAGATCTTGTGTATTCTGGATATCAATGCTTTGTCAAATGTGTAGATTAAAAATATTTTCTCCCCTTCTCTAGGTTGGCTCTTCTATAGGTTGTTATGCACAACCTTTTTAGCTGGATGTAATCCCATTTTTCTCTTTTGCTTTTATTTCATGTGATTGTGGGTTCTTGGAAAAACATATTGCCCATACACTGCATAAAGCATTTATTTCATATTTTATTTGAGTAGTTTCATATCTTAAATTTGTCTAAACCCATTTTTAGTTTATTTCTATAAATGGGGAGAGATAGAGATCTACTTTCATTCTTCTGTATGTGAAGATACAGTTCTCCAAGCGCATTTTTTTTTGAAAGACTATCCTCTCTCCAATGAATGCTTTTAAAACTTTTGTTAAAATTCAGTTGGTTGTATGTTTCATGGATTTATTTTTTGCTGTGTATTTTCTTCCATCAGTCTACATGTCTGTTTTAATGACAATACCATGGTGCTTTGATTACTACAGATATGTAGTATATACTAAGGTCAATAATGCAATTCTTCCTGCTTTGTTCTTTTTGCTCAGGATAAATTTGAAGTTTTGAAGAATTTTAGGATTGTTTTGTCCCTAATTTCATGAAGAATGCCACTGATACTTTGACAGTGATTTATTGAATTCATAGATCACATTAGGTAATATGAACATTTTAGGAATATAGATTCACCCTATACATGAACATTCAATGTCTTATCACTTTTTTCTATCCTCTTCAAGTTCTTTCATCAATGTTTTTAAAATTTTCATTGTAGAAATCATGTCTCTCTTTGGTAAAATCTATTCTAGCTTTTGAGGTTTGGTTTTGTACATGTTATAAATAAGATTACTTTCTTCATTTTCATTTCTGATAACTTTATGCTGGCATGTTATTGATTTTTGTGTTGATTATTTTACCCTGCAACACTGCTAAATTCATTCACTAGATCTAAAAGACTTTTTGGTGTGTTTGTGGGATTTTATGCATCTAAGATTTTGTCATCTGAAAACAATGACAATTTGACACAGTTTTTCTAATATAAGTGACCTTTATTTGTTTATCTTACTTGATTCCTCCGGCTAGGACTTCAGTACTATGTTGAACAAAGATGGAGAAAGGGGACATCCTCCTCTTGTTTTAGGTCTTGGAGAAAAACCTTTCAGCTTTTCCCCATCTGGTATGTTGGTTGTTGGCTTATTTCACACGGCCTTCATTGTGTTGAACTGCATTCCTTCCACACATAATTTACTCAATGTTTTTTATCACGAAGGAATGTTGAATTTTGTCAAATGCCTTTTTTGCATATACAGAGATCACATTATTGTTTTCTGGCTTCCTTTCTGTCCCTGGGATAAATCTCATTTGATAAAATTAACCTTTTAATATGCTTTTGAATTTGTTTTGGTAGTATTTTGTTGAGGATTTTTGTAATTTTCTTTCTTATGAACTGTTTCAAAGGACAGTTTGTTGTTTTTTTTGTGTGTGTGTGTGAGAGAGAGAGAGTGTGTATGCATTTTAAACTTTCTACTTGTTTTGTCTCAGTTTTGATCAATTTTCTATTATCATCGAATTCCTTACACATGTTTCTGGCAGTATTTGTTGTCTGTTCATTTTTAAATATGTTAAAGAGACTCAGTTTTGCATTTCATCTGTACATTAGCTTTAGTGCTCACGTGACAAATGTTCCTTGAGGGCATTTCTACATTCTCTGAAATATGGCTAACCTGGGTGCAGTAGAGCACTCCTGTAATCCCAGAGGCTCAGGAAGCTGAGGCAGGAGGAAAATGAATTCAAAGTAAGCCTCAACAATTTATCAAGTTCCTAAGTAACTTAGTAAGACCCTATCTCTAAATAAAATACAAAATAGGCTGGGGATGTGGCTCATTGTCTAAGCATCCCTGGGTTCAAACCCCTGTCCAAAAAAAAAAAAAAAAAAAAGCCTAAACCTATTCACATGATGGCATGACATTGTGTTCTTTTTTCAGATTTGCTTCGGCTCCTGGTGTTTATAGTGACTGATGTTACTTTTCAATGTCCCACAATCCACCCTTGGGTGTGTTTGCAATTATGAATATGATGTACGTGATTATGCAAATCACTCACTATGCTAGTCTTCAAGAAAAAATGTAGTATAAAATGAGAAACTTTCACTATTTGTCATTTCCAACCTATCATCAAGAGCACATGAAAAAAACTGATGAAAATGAAAAAAAATCGAGTCTTCCCTGCTTACCAGTGTTAAATTTCTTCATCCTAATCTTTTTATACGTTGTGTGTTTCACAGTGTGTTTTTGCACATTTGTGTGTGTGAATCTATCTACCATATGTATACTTAAACTTATTCCCTATCTCTACATATATGTACATAATATACATATATACGTATACACTCACAGTTTTATCTGAATAAATTTTAATTTTCACCATTGACAAATTGTATGATTTATTTAGTCCAAGTTTAACATTTTTTATATCTTCCATATTTATGTAACTTTTGGAGGTTTAATATAACCTTGAATAATAATCCTCTGATAAGCTCAAAATTTATACTTCAAACTCAACAAGCTATAATTTAAAGAGTAAAGCTGTAATGTATTTGATGATGGCAAACCCATCTTCTAAAATTCTCATGAAAGATTATTTTACATCATTATTATTCACCATGGTTACTGAATTGTTGCAATGTCATGAATGAGTTGTTGCTTATGTCATCAATGGGAGGAAACCAGGCTTCAGAGAAGTGAAGTTATAATATGTCAAAACTATGTGACAGTATATTTGCAGAGTTTAAGATTTCTTAGCTAACATAAAAGCATCTTAAAATGTATTTCTAAGCCATCATTTTGAATCAGACACAAAATGATTTCACTCATTTTATCTATGTCAACATACAGTGTTTTTTTATCCAGAGCCATTATCTCTTTTTATTATGAATTGAATCATCATGTTGTTATTTGGAACCAGAAAATAATTGGGTCATATTCCCATTGGAGCATCTCCTTTGGGCTCTACATATAGTAAAGTTAGTTGACATAAATAGCTTAAATGAACCATATTTAAAACATGATTAAACTTGAATTTAGTATGCCACAGGTAAGAAAAATTTTGACATTATTTGCACAATATGTTGGAGAATTGAAAGTCAGGATCACATTTTGGTACTAAATACTTTAGCTATTAAACAGTATAAACCTCGTTAATTCTATCCTGTTGTATAGGGAAGTAGAATACATTTCTCAATATCTGATTTATACCAAGTTTTAAATAAGTATTGAAAACCAATACTTCCAAGCAAAAAAATATTGAAACAACTTGATGTTATTATTTTATTTACACATAGTAAAACTAAATCTGCTGTAATGTTTTAAATGCAACTTTAATATTGTTTCTATGTACTTTTATTATCAACAGCTTACACAACTGATAAAATTCCATTGTTTTGTTACTGAATTAACCCATACATTAAGAGAGGGGACAGACATAAAAACCATAATCTAAATATTAGACCCAGGGGCTAAAGCTGAATGATAGTATAGTTGCCTGACATGTGCAAGGACTTGGGTTTAAGCCAAGCACTGTCAAAAACAAAATTACACCCAGAATTTTTATATTTAATCTCAATTGAATTATTTGAGTGTGTATTAGCAACTACAGAAATATATTACTTGTGGCTAAATATTTAAATATCTGACTCAATGTTCTAGTTACGCATATTTTCTATAACTTTTTATCATTTTTATTATGTGTCCAAATTTTAAATGATTTTAAATAGATACCTCTGAAGATCATTTATATGGTCATCTTAAATGAGTAGCCATAACTATAAAGTAAATTGGTGCACATATTTAATTTGTATTCTTACCTTACATTATGTTGTTTCTTGGCTATTCAAATATATAGCTGCTTTAAAGACAGTTAAAACCAGAGATAGACAGACATTACACATGGGTTTTAGTCAGGAATTTGGTTCATCTGGATTCCACATACCAGGTTACTTACCTTGTATCAGATAAGTCACTGAATCTTTGGCAGGAATTTCATGATCCCTGGATTCCCTGTGACTTCTAATGGCATAGAGACATGGATAGATTTCATCATGTTCATCAAAATGGTACTTCATTTCTCTTGTTCTGTGACCTCAGCTATATAAACATAGGTTAGTCAAAAAATCAAAACTCAGAGTGCAGAGCCATCAGTGGATCACAAAACAGAAAAACACACACACAGATTTTCAATACTGGTGTATATTTGTTTATTTGTGTGTGTTTTTCTGTTTTGTGATCAGAATGTGTGCATACACACAAAGGCACACACATATAAGAAACTGATTTTTTATGCAGCTTCAATTCTTCCTCAGTGGATGCAAGATGGTTTAGTCACTTTTTGATTGACTCTTTTTATTCCACTTAACAACTTGGAATGTAACAAGAATCGAGAAAGCCTATGTAGGCTATGTGATGCAAATAAATAGAAGACAAGTAGAATAAAGGAAGGGAATCTGGAGAAAGGTGGAGGGGAGGACAGGGATAGGACAATGATCAAAGTACATTAAGTGCCTGTATATATAATCACAGTGATGCCAACTGTTATATATAATTATTATAGACTAGCAAATATTTTAAAAAACGGTCTTCTTCTTTTGACTCACAATTTTGCCCATTATTTTCATAGAACATGAACTATGATCTTCTGAAGATCTTCAAGCTAGTTTTATGATATTTAAACATGAAAAATGTCACTGAAGTTAATTCATTTGTACTACAGGGCTTCACTTACAATAAAGAAGTGCAGATAATACTCTTTGTTCTATTTTTAGCTGTTTACATTTTTACTGTCACAGGAAATTTGGGACTGATTGTATTGGTGATCATGGATTCCCGGCTCCACAATCCCATGTACTATTTTCTGAGTGTGCTGTCTTCTGTGGATGCCTCCTATTCCACAGATGTTATCCCAAATATGTTAGTAAATTTCATATCAAAAAGAAAAATGATTTCATTCTATGGATGTGCAACACAGTCATTTCTTGCTGTCACTTTTGGAACCACAGAATGCTTTCTCTTGGCTGCAATGGCTTATGATCGCTATGTGGCCATCTACAACCCACTTCTGTATTCAGTGAGCATGTCACCCAGGGTCTATGTGCCACTCATCATGGCTTCCTGTGTTGGAGGAATTCTTCATGCCATTTTACATACAGTGGCCACTTTTAGCCTGTCCTTCTGTGGATCCAATGTAATCAGACACATATTCTGTGACATCCCTCCTCTACTTGCCATTTCTTGTTCTGACACTCACATAAATGAGCTTCTGCTCTTCCTCTTTGTGAGCTCCATTGAGATAGTCACCATCCTGATTGTCCTGATCTCCTATGGCTTCATCCTGTTGGCCATTCTGAAGATGCATTCTGCTGAGGGGAGGAGGAAAGTGTTCTCTACCTGTGGCTCCCACCTGACTGGAGTGTCCATTTATCATGGGACCATCCTCTTCATGTATATGAGACCAAGTTCCAGCTTTGCCTTGGATCATGACATGATAGTGTCAGTATTTTACAGCACTGTTATCCCTATGCTGAATCCCATCATCTATAGTTTGAGAAACAAAGATGTAATAGAGGCAATGAAAAGACTTTTAAAAAAAGTTGGTGTATGGATAAAATGAGTTTTCATACTAAGCAATAAACTAAAAATACTAGACTTATTTCCAGTGTCATCTTATTATGTTTTAATTAAAATATTTTTATTTGGACTCAGAAAGTGGCAGAGAGGATGTATGATACTAATGTCAACCTCTCCACAGAGAAGAAATGAAGCACTGAAAGAACTGATGACCAGAGGATTGTTTAACTGACTAATCACTCTAAAGCTCAATATTGGACAACTAAAGACTTGAGGGGACTTGGAAATTGACTGGACTGGGCTGGGCAGGGAAACCATTGTGTAGACTACACTGCTAGTCACAATGGTTGGAAGATATTAAGTCAATACAGCTTCTCCCAACTTAACAGTAGATTCACATAAAACCTTTGAAAAAATCTCTACAATGGACTATCTAAGTAAACTGTCTAGAAGGAACTTGTAGCAGAATTTCTGCAAGCTGAAGAATACCAAAATGCCTTCCCCTCTCTGAAGGTGGGGTGGGGTGAAGCTGAGTAGGAAAAAAAAATCACTTTCAAGGAATCCAAACTTAGCCTAGGGTTCCTCACTGCCTCAGCAGGAGTGTTCTTCATCACCTCAACCTGGAGGTGGTTAAACCCCTCATCATTGCAGCCAGGGTAGAATCTTTTCTACAACATAAAGGCTTAGATTCACAGGCCCCATAGTTGTAGAGAGCCATCAAGTTCTATGCTGCCATAAAGAAACTCCTGCTGAGGGGAGTGGTACTCCAAAGCATTCAGCAACAGCCCTGAAACCTGCATCATACACAACCACACCCAACAGAAAGAGTCAGAAGATGCAACACACTCCAGGCATGCAGACTTGGGCCTCTGGACTGACAAAAATCACTAGCTTAGAAAAAAAAAAAAGACATAGTAAACAGCAAAGTAGCTCACATGCTCCATCTCTAGTGGATTCACAGTTGTATGTCTCAGAGTGTCCAGTTGACTCAATTATCATTCTGATGCATAAATCTTCAGGAGATGAGAATAAGATGGAATGAGATGGAAGTCCAAACACAAAATGCTTTTAGAAATAATTTTTAAAAAGAAAGCCTCTCTCTCTCTCTCTCTCTCTCTCTCTCTCTCTCTCTCTCTGTCTCTCTCTCTCTCTCTCCCCCCCCACTGACAAAAAAGATTAAAAGAGGTCCTTTCCAAAATATATTGTAATTAAACTGCCTAACATAAAGAACAAAATAAAATTTTCATAGCTGCAAGAGAAAAATGGCAGGTCACATTTAGAGGTAAGCAAATTAGGTTTTTGACTGATTTCTCAATCCAGGCCCCCAGCAATTAGGAGGGTTTTGGATAATCTACAACATACCCTAAAAGATTTCAGATACCAACCAAGATTTTTATATCCAATAAGTACATTCTTCTGATGGGAATATGAAATAAATATTTTTCATGTTAAGCACAAAATAAATAGCTCATAACCATTAAGTCAGCAGTATAAAATATAGTCAATGAAATATTTCACACAGAATAAATGAAAAATAATTATCAGGGCAAATGTATGCATGTATTTCACTAGAAAAAATAGTTGATTCAAAGAGAATAAAGTACAAATTAAGCATTAAAAATAAATCAAAATGATATGAAATAAAAATCATTTCTCTATAATAACACTGAATATAAATGGTTTAAGAAATTGTATCTAAAGATACAGATTTGCAGAAGAGATTGAAAAACAAGACCAAAACATATCTTTACAAGAGACTTACCTCACAGGCAAAGATATCCACAGGCTGAGACGAAGGGATGGAAAATGTTGGATAATGTAGACTTCAAGCCAACATTAATAAGAAGAGTCAAAAAGGTCACTTCATACTGGTTAAGGGATACATCCAACAATATATTATGCCCCAAAATGCTGGTGTACACAACACATAAAACAAAATCACTCAATGTAAAAATCAAAAGTACCTGTATACAATAATATTGGGTAATTTCAACATACCTCTCTCACCAATGGATAGGTATTAAAGATATACATTGAGTAAACACCCTTCAGAGCTAAAATATACTAATAAACAAATAAACCTAACAGACATCTATAAAATATTCCATCCATCACCAACCAGTTTCATTTACTTCTTAGCTATACTTCTATAAAATGGATAGTAATTTACGACACATGGCAAGTATTAGCAAATACAAAGAAAAACAGAGAATATTCCTTATATCAATCATATCTGATGGTAATAAAATAAAATTTGCCATCAATAGCAATATAAGAAAAAACATATTTTGACACTAGAGATTAAATTTTACATTTTTGAATGAGGAATGGATTGTTGGAGAAATAACGAAAGATATAAAAATTTCCTAGAAACAAATGAGAATTAGGTTAAAATATCAAAATCTCTATGATGGTATGAAGGCAGTTTTAAGAGGAAAGCTTATAATGTTAAGTACAATCATTAAAAAAGACTCTAGCACAGTGAAACATACCTATAATACCAGTGGCTCCAGACATTAAAGAAGGAGGATTGTAAGCTTAAATAAAACAAAATAGTGAGGCGCTAAGACACTTAATGAAACCCTATCTCAAAATAAAAATAATAATGAACAAAGGTCTGGGCATGTAGCTCAATGCCAAATTGTTCATAGGTTTAATTAAAGAAAAATAATAATAACATTTTATCTCAAGGCCCTACCCAAACCATGAATACATTAATTCCAAAATTTGTAGAAGACAGGAAACTAGATCAGAACTGAAATTTATGAAATTGAGGGAAAAAATAGAGATAATTAAAAGAACAAATTTGGTACTTTGAAAATATGCATAACATTGATAAACTCTTAGCCAAACCAACCACAACAAAGAAAAGACGCACATCAACAAAATTAGAGATGAAAAAAAGGAGATACCAGTGTATCTCCTTTGGTGGAGCATCTGTTCAAACTTTTGCTTAATTTTTACAATATAATTTGTCATCTTATCAAGCTGTGAGAATTCTTTATATAATCTAGATACAATCCCTTTGTTAGATAGTTTTTTTTTGTTTGTTTAAGCTTTGCTGATATACAATTCACATAAATTTTATCCTTTTTAAAATGTATATAATTTAGATACTTTCAGTATATTTAACAATCATCACTATGTTAGTATATGTTTTGGAAAGATTTATTTTCCATCTGTGGTTTGCTTTTTCATTTTCTTAACAGATTCTTTTGAAGAACAAACCTTTATGCTTTTGATAAAGTCTATTTTTTTTTAGTTTCTTGTATATTTTATAGTTTTTGTGTTCTACCTGAAGAAATCTTTGCCAAACCCCAAATTATTAAGGTTTTCACCTTTATTTTCTTTCAAAATTTTTAGTGTTTTAGCTCTTTTAGGAATATATTCATTTCTAAATTGAGTTTTGCATATGGTATGAGGTAAGGGTCAGATTCACTTTTTGGTTTGAAAATTGTCCAGCACCATTTGTAGACAAGAGCATCCTTTCACTTTCATCCAA